TTTTTCAGGCTGAATAATATTGTGTTGTATGTACATTTTGTTTATGCATTCATCTGTGGATGGACATTTGGGTTGTCTCCACTTTTTGGCTATTGTGAACAAGGCTGCTAGGAACATGAGAGTACAAACATCTCTTTGAGACCCTGCTTTCAATTCTTTTGGATGGATACCTGGAAGTGGAATTGCTGGGTCATACAGTAATTCGATCTTTTAATTATTTGAGGAGCTGTCATGTTGTTTTCCACAGCGGCTGCACCATTTCACTTCTCACAGTTGCCTGCTTTTGAGTGTGATCTGTGAGGGTCCTTCCCTACCCGGCCTTGAGGCTCCCTCCCTGAGGGCTGATGAATTGCATTCTTTCCTCCCCCCACCCAGGCTTTGCCCTTTGTGGGTGCTGCGGGTGCCCTGTGCCCTTTGACTGGCTGGGTAGGAGGGAGGGAGGGGGTCCACCCGTCTGGGAAGAGCAGCTCCGTGGCAGAGGAAGCTTTATGTTCTCCACCTCGGTATCCAGGACCTGAGGCTCCAAGGGCGGGGATCTTTGGAAGGAAGGCTGTCTGGGATGTGATGAGTCATCTCTGACTGAAGGAGCTGTGACCAGCCTGGTATTGGGCCCAGGGCTGTGCCAGGATCAGCTTGGCTTCAAACCGAAAGTTAAGTTCATGAAAAAGCAAGCCCTCCTCCTGACAGGGGCCTTTCCTTGGCTTGTAGAGCTGGTGTTTGCACAGAAAGGCCCTTCTGCCAGTGGGAACCATGAGCAGTGTCCAGCGTTTCCTGGCAGCCCTGGTTTCCTGCCTGTCCCTCAGGGCTGCTTTCTAACCACTGGGGTCCTTGGAGGGCTGGACTCTGGAGCAGCTGTCTCCATCTTGGGTCTGGTGCTGCAGAACTGCCCATGGGCAGAGGGTGAAGGAACCCAAGGGTTGGACTCCCCAGGTAGGTTTCCAATCAGATGTTTGTGGACAGGAAAATGGACCTTCATATCAATCAGAGAACAAGTATAAGGTAAAGATGCCCCTTGTTATGAGCAGAACTGGGTGACTAGACTGTGACCCTGCTTAGGAAAAGCCATCGTCAGCTCTGAGAACCTTTCTGGTTTTATTTATGTTGGAAATTACCTAACAGAGGACCACCTCAGTGAACATATCCCCTCTGCTTTGATCTTTTATTTCTCTGACTCATAACCACTTCCTTTTAAAAGACGTGATCTCTATTATTTTTAGATGAATTTTTTACAGTGAGATGCACAAACCTTTAGTATATAATTTGATGAATTGGACTAGTGTAAATACCCGTGTAACCAGCATTCTCATAAAGATACAGTGCCCCTCTTATCCATGGTTTTGCTTTCTGCGGTTTCACTTACCCGCAGTCAACCGTGGTTCAAAAATATTAAATGGAAAATTCCAGAAATAAACAACTCATAAGTTTTAAATTGTGTGCCATTCTGAGTAGCATGATGCAACCTCATGCTGTCTTGCTTCATCCTGCCTGGAATGTGAGTCGTATCTTTGGCCAGTGTATCCATACTGTACAGTATGTATGTATAGGAAAAAACATGGTGTATTTAGGGTTTGGTACTATCTGTAGTTTCTGGCATCCCCTGGGGTTCTGGGAACGTATCCCCCTTGGAAAAGGGAAGACTACTGTGTAGAACCTTCCCATCATCCCAGAAAGTTCCCTTGGGCCCCTTTCCAGTTGATCCCTACCACCCCCATCCCAGGCAACCGCTGGTTGTTTTCTATTAATGTAGGTTAACTTGCCTTTTTTTGGAATGTCACGTAAATGAAATCATATAGTATGTACTTTTTGACATCTGTCTTCTCATGTATGATATAATTTCTGAGAAATCCATCCGTGTTGTTATATATATAAAAGTTTGTCCTTTTAAAAAAGTTTATTAGTATTCCATTATATAAATATACTACAATCTGTTTATGAATTCTCCAAGAAACATTTTTTAAACGGAGAGGGAGAAACCCACTGGGCTTTCCTCTCAGCATACATGGATATATCCATCCATCTGTGCATCCGTCCACATACATCCCACACACCAGGCCCTGGGCTGTCGCTGGGGCGCAAAGATCAATGAGAATTGGGCAGAGAGGATGATGACAGCGTAGGGAAAAGGCACACACATAGGGGGTGCAGCTGACATGCTGTGCTGGCTCAGAGGCAGGAGGTTGATCTCTCCCTGGGAGGGCTTCAGAGAGCAGGTGGCTGTGCTTAGAGCCTTCAAGCAGGATGGGCTTTAGAATCCATGGAAAAGCATGGTGGGGAGGCCCTTGCTGGGAGCGGAAGGAGCAAATGAAGCTCTGGGAAGGTGGAGGCCCACAGGCCATGGTTCCTGAATTCACTGCTTTGCAGTGGCCAGCCCACCTGAGGCTTGGGACCAGCAGCCTGACTGCCAGCCCCTGGCATCGCCTGTCCCAGCGCTGGACCCAGAGGTGGGACAGGAGGGAACCCAGGGCAGCTGCGTAAATACAGGTCCACTCTGTGTCTTCTGGAGTTAACTGTGTCCTGCCATCTGCAGTTGGTCTCCCAGGCATCTGAATAGTTTGTATGTCTGTGCTGCCTTCCTGTGGGCTGGACAGGCTGCCCATCTGGGGAAGAGGGGCTGGGCTAGCACTGCTTGCCTCCTTCCTTCTTTCTCTGTTCCTCCTCCCTGTTAGTCCTCTGGAGTGAGGAGCTTGTCCCTCCTGGTCGTGAGTCATTTGGCAAGAGATACATTGACACTCAGTGACCTGGGGAGCTGAGTCTTTGTGTTGAGCAAGGGCCTTCATGTTCTGTGCCTGCCTTCCCCCATGCTGAGGCATCCTGACCTTTGGACCTAGTCACACCCCAGCCTGGCAGAGGGCAAGGTCACTGAGTCTGTATGCATTGGAATCTAGCCAAGAAAAACAATAATAATTCCTTACCTTCGTTTGCAGAGCACTTTGTACTTTGTCAGACATGATCAGGCTTCTCATTTTTTCATCCATCCAGCCAGTGCTTGTCCAGTACCTACTGTGTGCCAGGTGGTGGAAAGGTGAACACAATTAGGTTGATGCCTGGAAGGAACCTACAGTCTGGTTGGAAACAAATAAGTATAAGAAGTGGTGAGACGGGAATATGTAAAGCATAGAACATGGGCTCAAAGGAGGGATGGTTGGTTATGCCAGGGAATATCAGGAAGGGCTTCATGGAGGAGGTGGCATTCAGTGGGTCAGAAGGTGAGCAGTAATTTTGGAAGGACGTGGGAACGGGGGCTCCATTCCAGGCAGGAGAAGTGATTTGAGCAAGTTGGGAAGGCATCCCCAATCCCAGCAGCTGAGAGCAGGAGGTTGGGTGAGAGATGAGGCTGGAGAGGTGACAGGAATGGGTCTTGGAGGGTCTGGTGTGGAGCGTCAGGAGTTTGGACCTCACCCTGTGGCAGTAAGGATGCCTGGAGGGTGTTAGAAGGATCCCCCTGAGAATTAGAGTGGTGTAAGACTGGAGGCAGGGAGGCCAGTTAGGCCGATGTGATTATCCACTCAAGAGAGAGAGCCTGAAATAAGGTCGTAGGAGAAGGTGGAGGGGAGATTTGAAATGTTAAGGACGTGGTCATCAGTTGGATGTTGGGGATTATATGGTAGGCAATAGTTGTGTTCTAATACAATCCTTCAGTAAGTTTATCTTGAGCACCTCCTACATGTAGAGTACAGCGTGGGCACAGATGAGATAGACACGGTTCCCACTCATTGGAACTGAGAGTCCTGAAGGACAGCACTCTGGTCAGATCTGTGTCATCTTCAAGTGACAGAAACACAATACAAAGACTGACAAAAAAGAAAAAGAGAAGGGAAGGAGAAAATGCAGGTTTATTGGCTCATACACTGGAGAGTTTCAGAGGGTAGAGCTTCAGGCGAGGCTGAATCTAAGTGCTCAGACAGTGTCTTTAGGAATCTGCCCTTTTCAGTTATGTCTCATCTTTACTCTGTGTGGACTTTATTTTTATTTTTTTCATGTCTAAGAGTTTATTCAATGTTTTTGAGTAAACAAAGTTGTAAAGAAAAACAAAAAACAAACAAAAAAACACCTGACATGAGTCTAGTTGTTTTTCTTTGCAGCATTCATTTCTAATAAGTCTAACAATGATTTCCCTTCTTTGTTTCTTATATGTCTTTTTGTTCATTTTGTGGCCTTGGAGCTATGCTTTTAGTTCATTAATTTAAAATTTTTAAAATTGTGGTTAAAAAAAACCATGTAAAATTTACCATTTTAACCATTTTTGAGTATACAGTTCAGTAGTGTTATCTGTATTTTCATACACCTCCTTTTAAGGCAGGCTCTCCCTAACATTTCCAAGTTGACCGCTGGTACCAGCTTAACAGCCTCAGTGGAAAGAGTAACAATTCTGAGACTGGTCCTTTTTGGCCCAAACTGGGCCATGTGACCACCCTTAGCAGTCACCGTGGCCCTCGTGATGGGCTGTGACTGCAAGAGGGATGGTCAAGGGGAAAGCGAGGTGCCCTTACTGAAGGATGGGAAGTGGATGTCAGGGAGGCAGAAACTGAACGCACTGCATAGCTCGAGCTCCTGCTGTGCAGGGTGCTGCGTTAGGCATGTGGCAGCCCGGAAAGTTTCACATTTGCCCACGTAGAGCTTTCAGCTAGTGGGGGAGAAAGGAGCTGGCCATAGATAACCACAGTACAACGTAAAGAGTGGTGAGCACCTGGAGGGTGGATGTTGTCCTCTAACTGGAAGGAGGAGTCAGGAATGGTTTCCTGGGGGAGTTGGACGGGGGGTGACAGAGTGTGATTCCCCACGTGGGGCCTGGGTACCTTCTGTCGACCCGTCGCTTGCTCCCGGCCGTGCTAATACCACCACTGCTCTAGCTTTCTCCCTGCCCTTCACAGACCTCCACCTCCTGCTGGCTGCCCCAGAGCTTACGTCCCTTTGGATGAGCCCACCCTGGGCCCTTGGGAAGGGCCTGGAGTCAGGGGGCCAGAGCGGCACAGGTCTGAGGCGCTGTCTTCCTCCCGCAGGCCTCTCCCTGGAACGCCTGCCCAACTCCATCGCTTCCCGCTACCGCCTGACCGAGAGGGAGGAGGAGGTGATCGCCTGCTTCGAGAGGGCCTCCTGGATCGCCCAGGTGTTCCTCCAGGAATTGGAGAAGGTGAGCGGGGAATAACAACACTGTGGTAGTAGCTGCTCTCGGTGAGCACTGATATCTACAGGCCCCCGCTAAGCCCATGCACCGCCCTTGTGCAAGTTAGAAAAGGGCACTTCCCCCCACCCCCGAGGACACTCTCCTTCATCGGCTGGAAAACTCATTATAGTATACTGATTCTGTTAGCATGAGACTCTTTACTGCCAGAAAACAGTTTTAGTAAATAAGTGAGTCCGTGCCATCTGTGAGGGAAGAGGAACTCCTTGGTGAACGTGACCTGTACAGCCAAGTGACAGTCCTGTTTGAATCCCTCAACTTGTTCACTCCTCACAGCACCCCTAGGAAGTAGGTATTATATGTATCCCTGTTAATGGATGTGGTTTAGAGAGCGTGACCTGTACAGCCAAGTGACAGTCCTGTTTGAATCCCTCAACTTGTTCACTCTTCACAGCACCCCTAGGAAGTAGGTATTATATGTATCCCTGTTAATGGATGTGGTTTAGAGAGATTAAATTGTTTGCTCGCCACTCTGCCCTTGGAAGGGGTGGAGCAGGGCTGGTTCTTGCAGTTAAACATCCTTCCCCGTCCTCAGGTGCCACACAAGCTCCTTGCTGGATCCCCTGGGGGGTGGGGTCTTGGGGCCCACTCCCCAAGCCTTTCAGAGGCCAGCAGAGAGCTGGCCAGCGGGGCTCTGGTGAGCCCCCCTCTCTGCCATGGGCTTGTGTTAACTGTCTCAGGGTGTTGACCCCAGGTGTAAGCAGCATTCCATGGTGAGTGTCCCCGTGCTTCCTCTCTCGAGGGGCGCTTGGTTTAACGCCAGGACAATGGGCAACTGTATTGACCGAGATACTGCTAATGTTTATTGCGTTTATTGCGTACCTGCTTTCATGTCACGCACTACTCTGAGTATCTTAAATCACTCTGTAATTTAACCCTCACACTGCCTGGATGAAATAGGGACCGTTGTTATTCCCATTTTACAGATGAGGAAAGCTCAGGTTTGGAGAGGAGTTCATGCAGCTTCCTGGAGTTCATGCAGTTATGTGGTGTTGGCAGGATTTGAACCCAGGGAATGTGGCTCTGATTACTTGTGGGGGAGACATCAAGAGTGGTGCCTAGGCATTCTGTTTAATAGATGTTTAGCAGATGTTGGATGGCAGATTCTGTAGTAGGGTAGATTGGGATTGACGTCCTGAAGGAGGAGGTGGTCATGAGCTGAGAGACTCAGAGCCCAGGAGACACTTGTGCCTCACCTACATTGGCAAATGCCACACTGTCAACTCAGCACCTGTTTTTGTGATGGGTCTTTTTGGAGAAGTCCACCTCTGGCCAGGTCAGCTTTCCTAGAGTAGGGATTCTCACCCTCAGTACTATTGACATTTGGGGCCAGGTAATTCCTTGTTGTGGGGCTGTCCTGTGTACTGCAGGATGTTGAGCAGCATCCCTGGCCTCTACCCACTAGATGCCAGCAGCACCCCCTCCCCCAATTATGACAACCAAAAATGTCTTCAGAGACTGTCAGATGTCCCCTGAGGGCAAAATCACACCCCCGTTGAGATCCACTGCCCTAGAGTCCCTCTGCTTGATTGGACATCGGGAGGAAAGGAGAAGTGATGATTGAGGGCTCAGCCGGTTCCAGTGCCCGTTTCCTGGCAGAGGCCACCTGGAGACTGACATGGCTGAGTTGACCTCCACCAAGGTCATGTGGATCACTGCTAGACAGCAATGTTTTAAGAGCTCTTCATATGTGAATTCATGTGGTTTGGAGGAGACTTTTGTGAGAAAGATAAAATCTCCTACTGTGCCGGAAGCCTAGGCTTTGGACTTTTAAAAGAGGATTCAGGTGATGAGCTGTAATGGTGTCCAGGGCAGGAATCGGTGCCTGGTTGGCATGGGCAGACAGAGGAGACCCGGTAGCTGGTCATCTCAAGTTGAGGGAAGGCAGACCACAGACCCTGTACATTCTCAGAAATGCTGTGTGTCAGCTTGAGACCCAGTCCCAACCTCTGAGGTACTAAGAACCTCTCTTAAATCTTTTTTGATTTCTCAAAGATAAGGTGGGAGACTCATTGGGTTTTTTCCTCAGATCAGACAAGGAAGGTGCTACTGAAGGCAGGCCTTTCTCACTGTGTTCGAGCTGAGGCTTAAGCAACAGCTCGGTTAATAATGTAATTGTCCCTCAGCTTCTCCTGGAACCTGAGATCTCAGCCCTTGGGATGTTCTGATGTTCCATGTTTGTATGACAGGGACAATGTGGTACCTGGCATGTGGTAGGTGGTCAAATGTGTGTGAAATGAATGAGCCAGAAAGTAGTAGATATAGCCTGGAATCTATAGCTGGCTAGACTTGAGTTTGAGGTCCAGGCTCACACCAGCTTTGTGACCTTAGGCACTTTCTGAGCCTCAGTTTCCTCACCTATAAAGTGAAAACAAAATCAGCCTTGTAGGGTCATTGTGAAGCTGAACTAAGATTTTGGCTTGTGGTGGTTCCATAAGTTTCCTTTTTCCTTCTCTTTCCTTATCTGGGGTGGACGTGAGGGTGTGGACAGCAGTGGGTCACAGGAGACAACCCCTGCCCTGTGGGAATGAAGTCTGGCAGGAGATGAGATTTGCATACGCAGAGGAACAGGGACCTGCATGTAGTGATCTCTACCACATGCTCAGGCAGTACGTGCTGTCTGATTGAAGAGTGCTCAGCATGGCCCTGAACAGACAGGGAAGCCCTCACACAGGAGACTCTGCAGCCTGACTTCCTGGCTCTGCCACCCACACCCTCAGTGACCTTGCACAAGAAGAGAACCTCTCTTTGCCTCAGTATTCTCATCTGTGAAATGGGAACAATGACAGTTCCTAATAGGGTTGCTTAAGGATTAAATGAGTTAATAAACTTAAAGCTCTGCAATTGTTGAATAAAGAATGTTAGACCTGGGGCTTGTGGGCATCCAGCATTTGGATGGGGAGAGAGTGCTTTAGATGATTTTATGTGAAAGCAAGTTAGGTCGAGCTTTGAGAATCTCTGGGACTGGGATGGCAGTGGGGCCACCTCCTTGCTGGGCTGACCCTCACTCCCGGCCCCTCTGCCTCAGAACTTTGAGACTGTGGCTCTCTCTCTGTCGCCCTTCCCAGGCCACAAATAACAGCACGTCAAGACATCTGAAAGGCTCTCAGCCGGCAGACTATGAGCTCTCCTACTTCCTGGAAGCCGCCCTCCAGAGCGCCTACGTGAAAAACCTGAAGAAGGGGTAGGTCGCTGGCAGCCGAGTGGGACCTGGATGTTTCTCTCTGGGCCAGGGTGCTTTGGACATGGCGGAGCCTGGTCTCCCTCCCCGGACTGTGTGCCTGTGCACTGTCCTGAGAAGATCGAGTGTCACATCTGGTTGGAGGTGTACAGGGTGCTCTTGTGGGAAGAGCCAAGCTTCAGGGAGCTGCTGAAGCAATAAAGGCTGCCCGTGCTTTTGGGGAGAACTGCAGAGACGAGAAACAGGAGTGGTTGTCTTTAGGGGGATAGTGGAGCCCAGGAGCCTGGAAGGAGACGTCGAGAGTGAAGGACAGTGAGCTGCTAGTGGGTGCTGATCTGGTTTAGTTCTCTGTCATCTGAGGTGTGGGCAAAGGCATTGTGCTCTCTGAGCCTTGGGTTTCCCAAAAACCGAACGGGAAGGCTGGTTCCTGCTCATTCTAGCTTTCAAGGGATGGTGAGGTGCAACAGGGAGCATGGTGAAAAATAAAGTCCTGGTGTCATTTTGAGGGTGTGACTGTCCCAGCTGATGAGGTAGCAGCAAAGCTTGTTTTCCTGTGCATTGTCTTGAGGACTCCTGGGAAAACTCGCCCACCTGGAACCCAAGAACCATGGTGCCAGAATGCCTTCCTTGGTCTTCTTTTCCTGGGTAGAGAGGTCCCCTCCACCCCCTGCAGAGCATGGAGGGGTGGCTGGTGCTGGCGCTGAGCCGGGAGTGGTGGCTTTGTGGTGTGTGTTGGGCAGTGGCGAGGGAGGGAGAAGCTTTGAGAGCAGGAGGGCACCCTGCAGGCAAGCATGGCCCTGGAGCGGTTCTGCAGATGGTCCTGCCTGCTGGCTGTGCCTCCATCCTCAGGGGACTGCCAGGCAGGGGCGGGGCTTCCTGCCTGTCTGCAGCGGAGACTTTGGCCCCCTCCTGCATCATAACATCCCTCCACAGACACTGTGGGCTGGGGCTGGAGGACATCATAGCAGAAGGGGACTGACATGCTGAGTGCAGCTGTCCTGTGGCAGTTGTCACATGTCTCACCTCACTCAGCCTCCCTGCCAAGCAGGTGTTACCCCCTCCTCACAGGTGAGGGGACCCAGGCACAGTGGCACACAGCTTTCCTTCCTGATGGGCTGGAGCTCTCTGAGGCCCATATGTCATTTGGGTATGATTTATCTAATTCAATGTCACTTCTTTCATTTCACCTGTTTTTGAATAGATAATTCTTGCACATGGTACCTGTTTGGCAGGAAAAAACAAACTTACTGTTTTCTCCTGCTCTGTGCTCTCAACGTAACACAGAACCCTTCTGTGAGCAAGAGTGTGGGGGTTTTCCCACCCACCATCCAATTCTCTCCAGCACCCGTGGCGTGTCCTACAGTTCACTCCAATTCTGACGCCAACAGAGTTAGCACAGGCCCCACAGGCTCAGGCCCACAAGTCTGCCTCCCACCTAAGATGCCAGACGTGAGTACCTGGTGCCCGGGTTACCCACAACTTCTGTCTGACAAGGGTACAAGTCAGAGGTTCCCGTGACCCCTTCTCAGGTTCGGTAATTTGCTAGAGCAGCTCACAGAACCCAGGAAAAGTTTACTTACTAGATTACTGGTTTACTATAGAAGGTTACAGCTCAACAACAGCCAGGTGGAAGAGATGCCTAGAGCAAGGTATGGGGAAGGGGCGCGGGGCTGCCATGCCCTCTCTGGAGTACCACTGCCCACATGTTCAGCAACCCAGAAGCTCTTCAGACCCTGTGCTTTTGGGTTTTTTATGGAGGTTTCATTTGTTATATAGGCATGATTGATTAAATCATTGGCTATTGGTGATCAACTCAACCTTCAGCCCCTCTCTGGCTATATTAGTCTGTTTCTGTTGCTTATAACAAAATACACAGAACCGGGTGTTTTACAAAGGAAATGAAATTTATTACTCACGGTTTCAGAGGCTGAGAATTCCAGAGTCTAAGGAACATATCTGTTGAGGATCTTGGTGGTGGCGACAGTGACCCAGGGATCTCACATGGCAGAAAATGGTGGAGCAGAGAGAGACTAAGCTCTCATGTGCTCTCCTTTTAAAGCCCTCAGAACCACGCCCCTGACCATCATTATTAATCCATTCACTAGGTATGATCCTGCAATCTAATCACATCTTCAAGGCCCTACCTTTCAATTACCATAATAGGATTTTCCCATCCTCAGCAGTTACAGTGGGGGTTAAGATTTGGGGGGACATTCAGCCCAAGGCACTGGCCCTTTACAGAAAAATTTGCTGAACTGTGCTCTAGATAATCACTGTCAACATTTTGATGTGTGTCTTCTGTGTTTTTCTATGTATAGACATGTAGATGTATTTTCTGTTTCCTTTTTTTAAACTACAAAACCAAAATAGTATCCTGTAGTACACACTGCCTGTGGCCTGCTTTGTCCACTCAGGGTTCGGCTGTGAGCCTCTTTGGTGATCCTGCTCATCTCTCGACATGTAGATGTATTTTCTGTTTCCTTTTTTAAAACTACAAAACCAAAATAGTATCCTGTAGTACACACTGCCTATGGCCTGCTTTGTCCACTCAGGGTTCGGCTGTGAGCCTCTTTGGTGATCCTGCTCATCTCTCTCCTGCATGAAGTTGCTCACTGTGGGTGGGGGTCAAGAGGAAGGTGGCCTAGCCTACGCCTGCAGGGGGGCCCAGGGCTAGGTGGGTGCAGGCACACAGTGGACAGCAGCCGAGATTCACAGCAGGAGGGCACCTGCAGGGGGGCCCAGGGCTAGGTGGGTGCAGGCACACAGTGGACAGCAGCCGAGATTCACAGAGACGGGGGAGTTGGGAAGGGCCTGAGGAGGTGGGACGGGGCTGAGGATTCTAGTGCTGCAGAGATCTGCAGGTGAGGCCCATGGCCTCATAAGTTTGGGAGACAGTGGCTTAAAGACTTATCAGACCCTTTAGAAGGGAAACCTGGATGAACAAGGTAGTCGGTCCCCAGGAGGAGGCAAAGGCATGTGACGTTTTCCAGACTCTGATTGACACAGAGCGCTTGTTTGGGGGTGAGGCTCTGTTGCTCTGAGACTGTGAGGGGAGCCTCTGACTGAAACACAGGGTCTGGTGCTGGCAGCTGTTCCATCCAGTGAGCAGCTCTGCCCAACCTGGCAGCCCTGGCCCATGAGGGCTACATACCTTTCAGGTTATCAGGTATTAGAAGCCCCTGAGCTTAACTCCTCCACTGCCTGGAAGAGAAGAAAGTGGAGTCCCTTGTCCAGAATGCAGGGCACACCGTGGTGAGCCCACTCCCAGGAGGCACAGGTGGCCAAGACGGCTGTAGGCAGGCAGGGGCCATGTGCCTTGGGGGAGACAGTCCCTCCTCAGCTGCCCCCTACCCCCTTCCCTCCCTCTTTCTCCCCTCTGCCCTTGCTGTTAGAGGGGGTGGAGTGGGGGGCTGCAGATGGTAAAGACAGGGTGGAGGGGTCCCAGCCAGGTCCCTGTGCTCTCCTGAGGCCTGGTGGAACAGGAGACTGGGAAGCACAGCTCTGGAGACAGCATATGCGGGAGTGAATCCTAGCTCTGCTGCCAGAAGCCTGGTGGCTGTGGTCAAGTCCCCTGAGCTCTCTGAACGTGCCCGGCAGATCAGACATGATCACCAAGCAGAGCGTCTGATATATCGCAGCTGCTTAGAGAATCAAAGCCAGTATTATCATTTATTTTTATTAATTTTCATGCAGTTCACAGCTGCACAGACTGTGAGCCCAGACACTAACTTTACACCTTGTTTTCTTTTTTTAATTTCTCACATGCTAGGCCAGGGAGGTGGTGGTGTCCCCCTTTTGGACATGTGGATTTGGAGGCCCAGAGAGCCGAGGTGGCTCACGCCAAGGGTGGCCATGGAGCCCTGGGCTCCTCAGACCACCTGGGGCCAGGGAGTGGGGCCTAGGGGGTGGGTGGGTGGCACAGGGGTGCTGAGGAGCACAGCTGCCTCTGCTCCCTCCACCAGCTGCTTTTCAGGTTGGCGAGCTTCGGTTTCAGAGGAATGGTGGCCCAGCAGCTGGTTCCTGTTTCTGTTGCCCAGGCAACTCTAGCTGAAGCCCCCTCCCCTTGGGGAGCCCCTCCTTCTGCCAGTTGTGAGCTCCAGGGGATGAATCAGGTGGGGGATGCACAGAGAGGTGGCACTCAGCTCCTTGCCTGCAGAGGTTTGGAAAGAGGGGCAGGGGTCCTTACTCAGAGGCTCATCAATGCCTTACGAAGCCCAGAGTGAGCCTGGGGAAGTTGAACCTGTACAGCAAGGCTGACTGCAGCCTGTTGTTGTAGATAAAGTTTTTAGAACACAGCCACACCCATTCATTCACGTGTTGTCTCACTGCAGAGTTGAGTAGCTGCAATTGAGACCTCATGGCAGAGCCTATAATACCTGCTCCCTTTATTTGCCCTTCACAGGAAAGTTCACTGACCCCTTCTCTGCAGAGTTCATGGAGCCTTCTCTCCTAAGGACCCTCTTAGGCATTAAGGGCAGAGGTGCTGTTCTTATATAGGGGAGCCTTGTGGAGTAGAGTTTGTGGGGAACGGACAGTTCTGATTTCAATATTGTCGTCTTCACTCATTCATTGAACGAATGTTTGTTATAATAATGTATGCCACTTATTAAGTGCTAAATTTGTGCCAGGCACTTAAGTACTTCACTTTCATGTGTTTGTTATCCTCCCAATAGCCCTCTGAGGTGGGGACCATAGTCAGCATCCCTGTTTACAGATGGGAAACTGAGACACAGCGAACAAAAGTGACTTGACCTGGGCAGAGGTAGGATTATGTGCTCAGGGGCCTGTCCGACTTTCAGAATTGGTACTCTTAACTACTAGGCTACACTGCCCACAGCAGAAATCCTGCTACTGAGACCCTGCAGCCACCCTCGAGGGGCTCACAGCCTAGCTTTGACTCCCCGAGTATGCGCACACATGGCAGGTGCTGTGTCCAGCTTCTGTTGTGAAAAACGTGGTGGGTGCCCTCACCACCTGGAGGAAGTCGGGATGGGGTTTGGGAG